GGAAATCTTGCACCGCCTCAGACAGAACAGTTGTCAATGTTAAGAAGGGGGTGCGGTGATGCGTCGTCACGTCATTGAAAATGCTTATTCTGCAGGTGGTGCAAGATTTCCTCCATCCACAGTATGTCTGTTGACACCATCATAAGTGGGGTTCGAACGGAGGTCTGGAGCCGCATTGTCGAGGCGCTCTACGAGGCAACCGAGTGCAGCCTTGCGTGCGCACGCATCCTCTGCTTCCAGAATTGGGTTCTGCCAGTCTCGTGGTTGAAGCACACTCCAAATCCTGCCACACCCTCCAGGAACAATCCCATGATGCGGTTAGCATGACTTTGCAGACCTACGATGTTGACACAAACTTCAATCCAAAAATTTTCAGATTGCAAAGCTCAGTCAGTTCAGAAGTGTGCCTCAAAAGCTGACTGCTGTGGTGCCGCTCCAAGATCAACATAGCACATTTGGAGTCTAATGGCGTGTTTGTCAGAAATTGCATCACTTTGTGGAGTCGATGAGGTCGAGTAAATGAATCAGGATCGGTGACCAATCATACGCATTCAACAGCCCATCGTGCAGCAGGACTGCGTGATCTCCGCTGATCAGGCGAATGGCATGGTGAAGGCGGGGCTGAGCCAAGCCTGACACGCCTCGGCTTTTGCCCATAACGCATTTCCACACTCCCGAACCCTGAGTCCGGAAAGAGGCTAGATCCTCAATCGGAAGGCGTTGAGCCACGTAGAAGCAGCCCGGACTCAACAGTTTGACAAAGCTGAAGGCCTACGCTTTGAACCTTGGTCCCATGCTTTTCTGGTCCCAATGCAAGACTCGCGCTTCTCAAACGCTGCAAACCTATGCCGCAGCAAACCCTTGAAACTCCAGCTGAAAGCAGGCGGGTAGCACTGTTCGCTGGGGCAGCACCGAAAGCTTGAAAACCTCAGCGTCCCCAGCAGATCGATTCAGCAGGCGGGTGGGTCTCATGATAGGTCTTGCAGGCACTTCGGGCACCGTATCTAGTTTGGGACAGGTTGCCTTGAACTCTCAATCCTAGTCATTTGTGGTTCATAGCGCATGTATGCGTTTTGTCACAGTCATTCGCATGGCTAGCTTATAATGCTGTACTTGCCTTCGCTGGCTCCAGGCTGGACTGGTACCCACAGGGATGAGCATGCAAGCCTAAACCTTCGTCAGCTTCTGATGATTTCATTCTGTGACGAGAATCTGGATTGCATCCTTGAGGGCCTGCGCCTACTTTGCCTTGCGGGGGAGTGCTCTGGCTCTGGAAGATGAGCAAATCGCTGAGATCCGCTGAGAATCGGCTTCAAGATATTACGTACAACCATTCAGAGGGAGGGTTCAAAGCTTAAGTTGAAAGTATCAAGAATGCAGGTTACAGCTGCTGTGAATTGTAGACTCAGGGCAGAGATACAGGGCGGACGCAGCTGAGGAAGATCAAGTTCTACGGCAGAATCTGTATACGCAAGCGTAAATCTGTCGGCTTTGACCGACCCTACATGTTCAGCCCTCTGGAACTCCATAGCCCATTGAAACAAGATGTCAACGCTCGGGTGCAGGCTGCGCTTTGTGGCGACACAGTTGCGCAACGGAAGCAACCTCAAGTGCCCCGCCTGCAACCAGCTTTACCATGAGCTGTTGACTATCAAGCGTCCCTTTGGATTAGATGGTGGCTTCGACTGCATGTTGCAAGCCGGTATAACGGTTGCTAACGCCCTGAGCTGAGGGATGTGGCGACCTCGGGCGCCCGACACCGCTGCATCTCTGCCCTAGAGGTCCTACGGCTCAAAAGCAGTTCTGCATGATTTTGGCTTCACCGTTTGAGGTATTCTGCCAGGGCTTGGAGGGCATGTTGCTGTGCCAATATTCATGTCGGATGGATTGCAGAGACTTCAGGCATGGTGCTGCAAACAGTTAGCAACCCTGACGCCACTTCGGCTGCTAAAGTACTACCACTTCCTAGGTGGAGGTGGAAAGATTGAAATGTGGAATTGACTTGCTGCCAGTCCAATCTCAACACACTTAAATTTTACGTCAGGGAACTTTTTGGCCTTCGTTGTCACAAGCACTTGTATACAACCTGTGTATATGTGTATGTAGGGATTGTCCTAAATTACTGTTAATACGGGGTCCTATATTTAGGTTCCTATTATAGTACGGGGCCCTATATAAATTTCCCCCATTTTGGGAACAGTAATTCAGGGAAACTTCCATATGTTTGCTCCTTCAGGATGCGGCCCTTCAGATGCTCACATCTTGAGAAGAAGTCTGATACACATGGTGCTTCATGTTGCAAGATGATGAGAGAGTAGGTGCCCAGACTGGTGGTTCATTACAATGAAACTCTGACACTTTTGTTGGTCTTGTTTAGGCCATGTGTCCGCAACTAATGCTTGTTTTTGATTAATGTTTCTTGTTTTGGATTTCCGTGGCATCCTCGTGTTCGACGTTCGGATTTTGCCTGTGGTTCCATCGTTTCTGTGCTTCAGGTTTCACATGGGTATCCCCAACGCCACAAGAGTAATTTCAGTTCTAAACGGTTGTCCGTTCTGCAAGGAGAATTACACCTTGTGTACATAAAAGCAATCACTCAGTTTTCGAGTCCTTCAGTTGTTGCACTTTGGATGGTTTTTGTTTTGCTACTTTTCTGCGCGGAGTTAGAAGTCGGTTGCCTAGAAAGTGCCGAACTGAGTTCCGCTGCTTGTACAGATGAATGTTATCACTCCTGTCTCGCATGCCCTTCCAGGCCCTGCAAGGCGAGCAACAAGCACTAAAAATTCAAGGTCTGCTAAGGCACTGAGACCCAGGTGAAAAAATCTGAGTTTTTCACGGCCGTGTCAAGAACCCCAGGAGCCTCTGCACTGTCCAGCAGTCAAGAGCCAGAACCCCAAGGCCCATGCATCCGCGCATGTACCTGAGGTTCACATGCGATCTCCCGGCTCTAAAGACACCCAGGTGGAGACGCCTCTTGGCTGGATGCGGTTCTGGGGCCCAACGTTTTTGTAGCTTGCAGCGCTGAAGGTTTGCTTCGGATTCTTGGGGTAGTTGCAAACCAGAATGTGACGTTTCATAAATTGAAAAAATCCATCAAGCATGAGGGCCGAGTCCGGGTTTGGACGTTTGCGACTTGAGAAAGCTCCTAGGAGGGTTTTTTCAAGTCGAAGGCTGAATACACGTGCCCTGGGGAACGTAGCCGGATGGTGCCCTCCCGCCAAAATTACCAGCTTGTTTCAGGGAACTCTCATAGGAGACTCTGATCTCATGCGGCCCTCATATAACCCTGATCTTCTTAGGTATTCCCAGCATTACCCTCAATGAGGTACAAGGGTCCCCATCAAGGGTGTGTCCTGAAACCGGGACACCCAAAGCCAGCTCCGACTAGAGTTGTTCCCGTGCTGCAGGAAGCCCAAGCGCAGTGTCCCTTGCGCCTGGGCCTAGGAAGCTCCTGTCAGACATTGAGGACTTCACTGTGGACTGCATCCTTGCTCCCCTTCTGCACTGAAGGTCATGCGGTCCAGTTTGGCCGTTTTTTCGCGCAGGTTCTGCTTTCGGCTTGTTTCAAAACGGGCAGGAGCAGATAAACTTTTGCACAACCCCTATCGGGCAAGATATTGCTGATGCAGCGTGTCTACGTTTCTTCGCACCCTTCTCAGATTGCAGGAAGCTTTGCAGGGATGTTCCCGAGTTCCCTGGCTAATTATCCAGTCATAGTCGCGCTGAGCAGTAGGGCGTGGTGCGAGTTGGGTCCATCGTGGTAACCACATGCAAGATCTCGGACTACTGCTGCGGCGTCTAGTTCTACTGCTATTGAATGCTATTGTTAAGTACGTACAGCAGATGCTACTGTGCCGGAAGCGGGTGGTACGCCTGCAGACGTATGCCGTTTTTCAGGGTTTAGGCGTTTTAGGATTTAGGCGATCTAGGGTTGAGGGTTCAGGCTTCAGGGTGTTTTATGGTTTACGGTCTTAAGGTTTTGAGGGCGTTTTGAGGGTTTTTAAGGTTTTGAGGGTTTTTAGGGTTTTTAGGGTTTTGAGGGGTTTTAGGGTTTTGAGGGTTTGGGTTTTTAGGGTTTAGGGTTCTTAGGGTTTGTTTTCTTAGGGTACGGTTTAAGGGTTTAGAACTTTCAAAGTAAGGGTTTCCAGAGGTTGAGGGTTTGCAGGGTTTTTCGGGTTTAAGGTTTTTAGGGTTTGGGCTTTTTAGGGTTTAGGACTTACTGGGCTGAGGGTGTTCAGAGTTTCGGGATTTAGGGTTCAGGGTTTTTAGAGTCTGGGGTTTTTAGAGTTTCTGGATGTTTTTTAGTGGTTTCGAGGGGTTTTAGGGTTTATGGTTTTTGGGGTTTCGAGTTGTTTGGAGGGATTAAGGGTTTTAGGGTTTAAGGCTTTTAGGGTTTAGGACCGTTTAGGATTCTTAGAGTTTAGGGTTTTTGCTTAGGGTTTTAGAGTTAGGGGTTTTAGGGTTTAGTGTTTTTGGTAGGGTATAGGTTTTTGAGGGTTTAAGGTTTCTAGGGTTAAGGGTTTTTAGGCTTTAGAGTGTTTAGGGCTTTTAGGGTTTTGTGTTTTTAGTTTTTTTTTGGATTAATTGTTTTCGGGGTCTTTTTGAGTTTAGTACTTTTAATTTTTTTTCAGGGATGCAGGTTCTCAGGGTTTAAGGCTTTTAGGCTGTAGGATGTTTAGGGTTAACGGCTCTTAGGGCTGAGGGTTTTTAGGATATATGCTTTTAGGGTTTAGGATTTACGGCTTTGAGGGTTAAGGTTTTGTTGAGTGTAGGGTGTAGGGTTTTTAGGGTTTGGGCTTTTTAGAGTTCTGGGGTTTGAGGGTTCAGTCATTTCTTTTTAAGGGGTTTAAGATTTTCAGGGTTGAGGGTCTTCAGAGTTTAGGGCTTTAGGGTCCAGGCTTGGGTTACGAGGTTTTCGGGTTTTCAGGGTGTACGACTTTGAGGCTGTGGGCTTTTTAGGGTTTCGGGTTTTTAGGGTTTAGGGGTTTGCAGAGTTTAAGCTTGTTTTGGATTCAAGGTTTTTGGGTTTGGTGGGATTCAGGGCTGTTAGCGTATTGGGTCTTTTGGGTTTAGGGTTTCCAGGGCTAAGGGTTTTGGAATTTAATTTTTTAGGGTTTGGTGGTTTTGTGGTATTCTTTTTTTTGAGTTTCGCGTTTTTTGGGGTATAGTTGTCTTAGGGTGGAGTGTTTTTAGGGTTAAGGGTTTGGGGGTTCAGGGTTTAGGGCTTTGAGGGTTTAGGGGTTTTGTAGGGTACAGGGTTTGTAGGTTAAGGGTTTCTGGGGTTAAGGATTTTTATGGTCTTTGGGGGCGCTTTTGAGGGTTTAGGGTGGTTTAGGTTTTAGGGCTTTGTAGGGTTTAGGGTTTTAGATTTCGGGTCTAAGGTTTGAATGAAGCCTAACCGAAAAAATTGACCCTGACTCAAGCATCCTAAAAGAAAGATACGCGGGACAGCAAACTCAAAAACATGTCAATTGGACCGGCAAGTGGATGCCCACTGGATCCCTCTTACGGAAACCAGGCTCCCTCAAATGGCACCAGGGTTTTGAGGATGAAAGGTCCAGGATATGCGCTGAGTCCTTCTCGGTGTCCCCAGCCGGAGGAAACTGAATGAATGCGTTGTCATGTCCAGTCTGGACTTTGCTGACAACATGGGGAATACTGCTCAGACGTTTGTGCGAACCATGGGTAGGTTGTCTTCAGGCTTATGTAGCAATGTATCGAGTAGCAAAGAATCCGTTCGAGAACTGTCTTAGGATTAACCTACACTACTAGGCCGACACCCTGAAGTTTGAAGCTAACCCAGATTACCGGCAGTCACGCGTCTGTAGCTGTCCCAGATCAGCCTAGGAGACCGAGGACAGCTGTCTGTTCTTGCAATGCCGGGCGCAGGGTGGGTGACAGCTGTCTATGCTTCAAAGTTTCCTTGTGACCCTGATGTTTTGGCACGGGACCTTGTGGCTTAAGTTTATCTGACTGACTGGCTGCAACTTGGGATCTGTCCTGGCATGGGAGACGCCAGCTGATGCATCAGAGCCGCCTGTTTACACTTTTTCTGCGCACAGTTGTTTTCTGTAGCCATCATGGGATATCGAGAGACGCTCCATTCTTGGTAATTGTTAGGCAGTTTTCTAGTTTTGACCAAACGTCCAGACTGCGCAGTGCAGCTTCGCATAGCTTGTGGACCCAAGCCGAAACCACTTAGGCCTCGGTCTTCCCGAAAGGGAGTCGGGTGTTTGTTTAGAAGCCGGGTCTGTATTCCAGCTCTGGCGTGGTGAGGCTGATTCGTAGACGTGTCTGCCAATCTAGGAAGCTCTAGGAATTTCTGCATGTCACACTTGTGAGAGCTGCAACTGACCCATTGGCCCAGTTGCAGGAGCTTCGGCGAGCGCTTGTTCAGGCTCTGAAGGAGGATGTCGGGATGCGGGAAACATCTGCCTCAAAGGGTTTGCAGCGCCCTCTGAGCCTCAAGCTTTGCAGATGACAGTGGCAGTGGCTTGTTCGGGTTTTGGGGATAGGCTCTGGGGGTTTAGACTTTCAAGCTTATGATGAACCTACTATCTACAGCTGTTCTCTCGGTACTTGTGTGATCGGGCTCCTAGGTGACTGTGCACGTCTCATGGTAATTGCGTCTTGCAGCGTGGTGCAAGAAGCCGAACATCGCGCTCACAGAACACATTGAAGGAGAAGGGGATGCAAGCAGTTGTGCATTTTTCGGTCACTCGGCTGCGCGGATAGCGCGCACAGTTTCAGTTTCTGCTTCGAGGAAGCGCTGTTTCGAGGTTTGAGCAGGGGAGAGGGATGAAGATTGTCTTCCCGAGTTTTTGTAATCTGAAAGACACTTTCTGACGGCCTGTTTGTCCTAGGCCTGGGCTGCAAGCGCTTTTCTGGATTCTGCTGTGCCCACGGCATTGGTGTGCACACTTAAAGCCTGGAAACGTGTTTCTGTGAGATCTCGGGGAGGCGAAAGGGCCTTTGAAGTCTGATGCCAGCAAGGTGTTCGAGCTGAGCCCCGGCAGCCGGCTGCTGGCGGTCAACGACAGCTGGCCGGTGCTGAAGGAATTGTGCTTAGCTGTTCAAGTGTGAATTTCCTTTGCGCCAGCTTGGGTTGTGCATGCAAGGCTAATTTTTCGAGTCACCAAACAAGCCAGGAGGAGATGATAGAAGAGCTTAGCAATGCAACGCTACCAGCACTCCTCGTGTTCCAGCGAGCCGGCGCGCTTTTCCACGAGGCCTGAGATGCTGTGAGCTGCAGCAAGGCTCTTCCTGTGCTCTCCTGGATTCTTCTGGCCAGGTAGAGTTCGAGCTGCACCCGCCCGCACGCGTGAAGTCCATGTCTTTCATGACTGGCAAGGTGGGGGTGCAGCGTCACCGACTAGAATGGTATAGAAAGATTTTGAGACTGAACCGGGTTGGACAATTCAACATGTCAACATAATCTGGCTTGATTGATGTTTAGGATGTCTGTTTGCAAGAATCTTGGGTTCTTGGATTCAGATGACCCCAGAGCCGGGTCTCCGCAAGTTGTTTACAAGACCACACGCCCACAAACCAAAACCAGAGATTTCGAGTTCCCAGGCCCCAAGCACTCGCTGTGCACAGAGACCTCATACTCCTCAGAACTCCTCCTGCTGACTGCACGCGTTTCATGTAACCTCACTGCCGCTGGGAGGATGCCCCTGGCCTGGACCCTGTGTGCTGGAAGGCCTACTCCATGCTGTGGTCGTTGATTGGTGAGGATGTAGGTATTGTCCAGTATGAATTTGGTGAAGTGCGCCACTTTGAGGAGCATGTGGCCCACGGGCTTAGGACGTAGGGTCCTGGGCTCGCAACGTTGTACACTAGCTAGGATTTCTGGCTGCAAGGTCATATGAGTTTCGAGGTCACGGGCGTGAGGAGAGAGGAGAAGAGAACAGAAGAGACCAGAGGAGCTGAGGGAGGGAAGAGGTACAGCAGCTTTGTCCCCATGAATTCGGTGGGGCTTCGAATCGAAAATGAGTTGGCTTGCAGGTATGTCATCAAGAGCAGCTCTTGAATTCTTTTGGAGCTAAGTGCAACTTAAACCTCAGAGATCTCAGCTCTAAAGCAGGTTGAGGGCTTCGTGCAGGGTGAGAATGGCGAGGGCACATGGAAGCAGATGGTCTGGCAAGACAAGTCCTATGCACCACCGTTCAAGCGCGAGCAGCTCGGCATTTGGAAAGGAACAAAAGGAGCAAGCAGTAAGGCCTTAGACTCCGAGGATTTTGCAGCATGTTGTGCTTAAGGAGGAGCCTTTCTACTGTCACAGCGTGAGAGGCACATTTTCCGGGTTGTGTCAGTGGGGGACTATCTATGCCCTCAGCTTTCAGCCAAAGGCTAAGACTGAAACCGAGAGCTCAGGACCGAGCTCTGCGTTGTATTTGACGTGGAGCACTGGAGAGTGGAGGCAAAGTCGACGGGCCATGCTCGCAGTTCCAAGGTGCGAGCCTTGTGCCTGGTGCTAGTAGGAGGGCTAGAGCCTCCACCCCTTTGGTGCAAATTTTTTGGACTAGGCATTGTCAGACTTTGTTTCTCGTGAGTATTACCTGAGGCCGTCCTAGGCTTTGGCTTCGCACAATGTTGACTATTCTTGCAGTCTGCTGGTTTCCAGGGTTTTGGCTCCACGTTAGACGTCTGGCATAGGGATTTCATACTCGTCTCCTCCAAGGTCAAAGTCATCTAAATGCGAGGTAGATACTGAACACTGTCGATACTCAACTGACCTCTTGCCTGTCTTCAAGGTGAGTGTGCAAACTTTCTGGTTGCAGCAACATCGTGAAGATGCCAGGTTCCAGACACGCATCCAAATTTTGATAGAGTTTGGGCGCAGCTAGCTGACTCCAATTCCCGTAGCTAGGCACCTTGAACCAGCAACACCAAAGCCGTATCTTCACTCAACACCGGAGATAACGTCCGGAAAAATGATTCGTTGTTACATCGGGCCCGTGCCAGGTCACGAGCATTACCCTACAGTCTTTCCTGCCTGTGGTGCAGGAGTGTCTTGGCAGTGGCAGGAGTATTGTTTTACGTTTGCCGCCTGTTTCCACAGGCCGAGAGTGGTAAGCCAGAAGAATCACCGAAGTCTTTTTTGCCAATGTTTTGAGCTTGAGCTGAAGAGCTGAAGAGCTGAAGCAAGATCTGACATCACCTGTCTGCCACTTGCGGAAGTGAAAGCGCCTGAAACTAACCCGCCAAGACAATGTCCAGACGCAGTCCTTAGGCGCTTGAGCTTCTTCACGGCTTCACTGCGCAGCCTGCTACGCTCGTCCGAGAAATACGGCAAAACCCTCAGAATTTTTATGGGCCGGCTAGGCGGATTGCAGGACGAAGCGCTCCCTCAACACAAAAAAGTCGCGAGCAAGCATGGGTTGTTTGTCTTCAAGGATTGGCTGTATCCGGCCTTTATGCTTGCGCCAGTAGGGTCCCAACGCCGACACGGTCTCAAACCCGAATACAGCAGCGGCTAAAACAAGAGGAAGTGTTTTTAATCGCCTTGAATCCGCTTGATCGATCCAAGGCATCCGTGCTGGCATCGACACGCTGTTGGACAGCCACATCGGCAACATACCATCCCTCACGCAGGCCCGATCTTCACGGAAAGAGTTTGTTTGAAAATGTCTCTTTTGTGTTTATGGTTCTGGTTTGGGCTTCTTCTCAATCGGAACTGTCGCTCCAAAGATCCCCGAATCTACAAGATGGATTGTGTCATCGTGTCATCTGTAATTGCGACTCCCATAAGATTAGAGGACGTCTCAGCAAACAAACCCTCAGAAACTCAAGCCCACACAATAGGATCAACCTTTTTTCATTCACATAAGCATCGCGGATCTACATGATGAACGATGGATTTCTGAAGGGTTTGTCCGATGTCCGCCTGCAATACAGTTCTTGCGTACAGTATTGCATGCTAAGGGCGATAAGGGGATGTTTGGTGTAGAGCACAAGGCTTCAGGATTTCCAAAATGCAGAGTTGGTCCATCAGCCAGAAGGGCTGCTTGTTTCCGGTGTTGCTCGGCTTTAATGAGAAGCGTATTGTAACACAATGGTCTGGAGAGAGGTCGCTTGACTCGAGTTCTGAAGTTGCTTTCGAAGATGCCAAAAGCTGCTGTGATGCCCAGAAGGCCACAGCCTCATTTCAAGTCGCAGGTGATTCCTTGCTACAACGAGACCGTGATCTTGAGCAAGCGGTTTCTGCAAGATGCAGCTTGGCAGTAAAGTTAATAACAGATATGACCAACCGCCAGCTACTCGACCTAAACTTAAACTGTACTTGACATCTTGTGGATCCTACGCAGGGGCTTTTTGGTTGTGTAATGTGCTTGGATGTGATCCACTTTCAATGCAGAGTTGGGGTCTATATCTGCAATGCCCTATCAAGAAAGCACCTGAATACTCCGACCCGAGCTAGATCACAGAGTCGGCATAGCAAGTACAGATGTTGACGAGCAAGCGCTGGTGCTCGGCTGGTTCACCCTTGGTGTAAGTGTAAGTAGAAAGTGGCCGGAGAGGCAAAGAGGTCTTGTCTGTCAGCATTTGTTTTCCAAAAAAAATCACTCTCGCATTGAGACGGTTTGTGCCTTAAAGAGGTGAGCTGTAGAGTAGCATGGAGACAAGCTTTGCCACGAGTAATTTGGATTGTCCATCAACAGCCCTCCCACGGAACTGAAATGCGCAGGAGGACGGGTTGAACACCAACCTGGCCTTCATAATCTCGCAGTTTCCGGAAGAGCCGCTGCCTCAGTTGAAGTAGGAAGAGTTCTAGGAAGAGTTGTAAGCTCTTGAGGCAGACTTGGGGCCTATTTTTGAGCCATGTTCTGCTTAAGTAGCATTGACGCATTGACGAATGAGAATCCCTGCGCCCTACATACTCTCTTGGATGCAGAGTGCCTACCAATGGTAAACTCTTCGGAGTGTTCCACTCGTGTCCATTGCTCTCTACTCCTCCTCTGCCTGGAACCACATGTGCTCGTCCCAGAGACTCACCATTCGCAAAAGCCTTTCTTTGCAAGCTGCAGCAAATGGAGCGTCCTGGATCTAAAGCCGATCGGGCCTGCGGCACAATGGGAGCATCTCAGAAATTCCATATTGGAACTGTAAACGTGTTCCTCTAGTATGCTGAGCCCAGACTTTCAATGCGGGTGACTTGGGGTCAGGTGGGAATTCTTCTGCGAGCGGCATGGTTTCTCGTCGAAGGACCTGCCTCAAGTTCATTCTGCATGTTTTTCACGTGTGACTTGGAGGAACACGGCATAGAAATAAAGTGAATCTTCCTACTTTGTGTGTAGTGTGTGATACAAAGAGGAGACTTGTAGAGGTCACATGTCTCTTCAAGGCTCCTGCTGCCGGATGCAAAAAGACTTCAAGCAAGTTATAACAGCAGCAGAACAGGGCAAGCACCAATGCTGGGCTGCAGAACAAGACAGCCGTTTATGATCTAAGGTTGCGGAGCCTGGAGGCAGTAGATATGAAATTCTTGCAAGCAAAGGCTGCAGGATCAGACTCTCTTGGGTGTTCAATGAGGTAGCAAGAAATTTCAACATGAGTTTCGTAAAGCACCCTGTTCTTTGAATCTCGCCTGGAGATTCACAGGTAGTGGCTCCTCGACTGATTTCCTGAAGCCTTCACACATTCCATCTGCTTTTGGCAGATGCTTGGCCGGCAGGGCATGCATGAAGCCTTCATGGGCCGCGGCGACCGCTTGCTAACGCCAGCTCTGGTGATGGAGGCCTGATGCCGATGTGATATTGTCTTGCATGCCATCATCTTATTGTGGGGTATGTTCAGGTCTCCAGGTTTCCCTGAAGTGGTTAGGTCGACAGGTTGCGTGCTGCTACTTCTGTAGCCATTTATTGCCGGGGCTGTTGGGGCTGTCGTTCTTCATGGTTGCCGGTGGCTGCCGGGCCAGTCAGACTGATTTCTTTTTGTTCACTTGACTAGTTGTTGAATGTCGCTTTGCTTACAGACATCCTTATTTTGTCAGCTTTCATGGCACGAAAAGATGGCAACAGCTCTTTTCATTGTGGTTGCAAATTTGCTTTCAATTGGAAGTTCTTCGCGCTGCTGTTGTGCGCAGCCTGTGCGTGGCTATGCTCTAGTGCCTTCTAGGGGTGTCTTTGTTTTCGTCACCTGTAGGTGTAGGTTCTCTTGTCAAAAAAGCATGATGGAAGTCATTTCATGAAGAAGGTCCCACGCCCTGAATCCCATAGCTGCGTCACGTCTGCATTGCTGGAATCCCATGCTGCTGTTGCTGGAGGAAGCATTCTGGTAGACCCAACTGCAGTGTAAACGCTGAATTATGTATCAAGCATCATCAGTGGATGCTGAAAGATGAGGAAGGTTTCTTCCCCTTGGTGGCGCCAGACTAAACCAAGTGTGCCGCAGGTTCGAATGTGGGCCTCCATGAGATCCCAGACGGTGGCAAGGCCTGGAAGGGGAATGTATGGATGGCAGTCAGCACAATGTTTGCTCGATGTGGTGCGAACTTGGTGTGGCAACATGCAGTCACCGATCAAACTCGTGACTAGTTCGCGTTTGCATCTTGCTGTTTGCATGCCTGTGTGCATGCGCTGTGAGAATGTGGGTTGCATGTGAGCAAACCTCGGCGCAGCATGTCTGCGCAGCGTGCGTGGAGACCCTGCTTTTCGTCTCAAGCACTGTCTGGGCACGGAGTCATGCTCCCTCCCCCCCCCGGNNCCCCCCCCCCCCGTGCTTCTTCAGCTGATTGTAAAGTAAGTTTTTTTCTAGACTCTTACAAGGAAGATTTCTATCAGTACTGGCAAAGACTAAGAGTATTGTTGGAGCTCTTGAAGTGTTCCGTTGTGGCATTTCTTTTCGTTCGCGATAGTGAAAGCGGCTCTCCAACTTTGATTGCCCAAAATTATATCTGCCACCCCCAGATCCTCGACAGGAAGCCTGGTGCCCCTTCTGAACACCCTGCATATCCATAAGATGCTGTGATCACGCTTGAAACTTTGAAAGGACAGTGGTCGGTGCGATGCAGTACCAGGAGGCACAGGAATGAACAAGCACTTCAGAGAAAGACATACCCTCTTTGCAGGAAGATAGTTGCAACAGCTGCTGTGTTTGGTTCTAGCATTATCCTGAACACAGATTGCGTCCCCTGCTTGGTCTCTTGCGTGGCGGTGTGCTTAGGCTGTTAAAGCCAGCTTACACAGCGTACAGAGATCCGTGACTGTCAATCTACAGATTCACCTCAGGCTTCAGGCTCCAATAAGTAAATCTGCAAAAGCTTTGACCTGCAGCTAGGGGCTTTGACCTGCAGTTTCAGTTGCCAGGGCTGCCAGGGTTTGTTGCGAGGGGCCATGTTTCTGTCGAGTGGGAGCAGAGCGCACCTCCTCAAGAAGCGGTGGGGCATTTATCCTTTGCATATCAAGATGGCTTGTTCAGCAGGGATTGTGGCTATCTTTTGATGTCTGTGAAAATCAGCACGCCTTAGTAGTATCAATGTGTGGGCAGAGCAGGTGGTGGCAATGCTGCCGAGCGTGCAGTCTGCTGACAATCCTCGGAAGGTGGCTGGAGCGTGTTTAAGTGTTGAAAAGTCTTGCGGGGACTTGCAACCTCGCTGTTTGCACCACAGTTCTATGCGTGTGATATCTATGTATCTGGCTTCAAAGGTGGCATCAACCAGGCAATAGAGATGTGGCCTGAAGTCCTTCTCTTGTCTTCACCTCATGACTCACGCGAGCACGAACCTCAATGCTGCATAAACTTAGATGGTGAGGAATCTGGATGCATGCGCATTTATTCCTTCAGCCTTTGAGTAGCGGCAGAGGTTCTATGTCCTGGCGGCCTGTCGAACGAAGGAGAAACATGCAATCTCTGTAAAGTTCTTTGCAAGAAAGGGCTCAGGTGGCCATAAGCTCAACTGAGAGGCACTGGAGTGCTGCGTGGAGCTGGTCCTGGCGCACCAGACATACGGCAGCAAGGCCCGTCTTCATCACCACTCATGGCTGTGAAGGGAGGGTGGACACATGGTTGCTGTAGGTCATGTAGGCTCAGCTGGGGCCAAGATGCCTATATCTTTAGTGCTCACGTGCAGAAGATGGCTCTTGAAGCAACTGCAGGGAAAAACTGAAGCTGAAGTGTATGCAGCAGGTGATCTCTACAGCCCGCTATAACTCGGAGTCGCCATGGCATGGCTTTCTTGAAAGAAAGTGGAAGACCGCATGTGAGTTCAGGCCGCTCGCGACTAGGGCCCCTGAAGCTGCAGACGATGACGCATCATCATAGACAGGCATTCCTGTATCTTGACCTTGAGATCTTCCCTGATTTCTAAACGCGATTCCAGACAGATAGTCGCACGGCAACCCATTGGGTTAAAAATGTTCAGAACTTGCATCCCGTACAAAGACAAAAAGCTTCTGCACAGACCCCAACAACTGCTGAGGCTGGCTCTGAGGCCAACGATGAGTCGGTGCGGTAACGTGTCTGAAAGAGTTCCTGCAGTGGAGTATGTTGACAAAGGGGTTCCCAGCAAAATCCGAAGGTCTCAATGTTTGCTCTCGGGGTGTGGAAACTGCCATTGCGAGCCCTTCCGGTGAAATCTTTTCGTTGCGTGGCTGTTCTTTTCATAGATGTTCGTGGATTTTAGGTCCTTTTCCTGTGCGGCTCGCTGCGAAAAAGCAGTGCATGCGCCTGTAACGGGTAGAAGAGGTTTCGAAGCAGTGCTGCAGACCTGCACAGGAGCATTTGAACTTGAAGCTCTTGTTGACGCCTCTGAGGTATCTGCTGGCTAAGTACCGAGATCGCTGCTTTTTCCTGGTCTTCGACTTCGATATCGAGAAGTCGCGTCCAGGCCTAGTCACGATGGTCAACAATTTCGTCCGGGAGAGGCTCCTTGTCGAGCAGATGGCCTGAAATTCCAGCAAGTTCAATTTGACTCCAAGTGTTTTCCCGGGAAGCTTCCTGCTTTAAAGATCTTTAAAGCACATTGAGCGGCTTCGTTCAGGTTGCAAGCATGAAATCGGTGGCATCTATGTGTACACTGCGCGCATACACATGCGAAGAGTTTGAGAGTAAGAACACAGAACTCCAGACGAAAAAAGCACAGGTCTTTGCAGTGCAAACCTTGAAGCATTGAAGAGCATCGTATCAGGGCATGCCCTTCTTTAGTGCTTGTGCTACCGTGTCTGCTGAGATATCGCTTCGACCGACCTGTGCGACACGCGCCAGGGACTCGAAGGTTGTTCTGAGCCGAGGCCAAGTTTCCAAGTACGCGCGACGGCCAGCCAATGCATGCACAAGTCGGGCACACTATGTAGTAGATATGTAGCAGCATGTAACCACTTGTGCACCTGCAAGACGAGAGAGGTTTTCAAAGAGTACGGATCGGTCTTGATGACAAAATAGTAGAGGTTTCTCCAAAGCCAATGCCCAACGATAGGCGATACCAACACTGGCACAAGGGACATGCAGGACCATGATCCATCTGTAGATTCTGGCTTCTTCTTCCACTCCACGCAAGCCTTGCAACCATGTTGAACCTCAGTTTCAAGCTAGACTTTTGATTCTAGCCCTCTGGAACCGCAAAGATGCATGCCGCCCCAAGAAGGTCGGTTCTGGCTCGTTTCCGCAGCGGTGCATACCGAGAGGATGGCGGCTTTGAAGTTGTGATTAGTGCTCCCAGCGCCAGCATGATATAGGTCATGGTCGAAGTTTTTTTTTTGAGGCAGCTTCCGAGTTTCCGGAAAGTGGAGCTTTTCTAATTAGTTTCGCGCTGATCTGAACATGTTGCATCAATGCTTTTCCAGCTTGGTATGTAGTATCGAGCGCGTAAGCATGCGAGAGGTGTGCTTGCCGGGAAGCACCAGAAGCATTTTCGAGAATCGTGGAGCCCACAGTTTGGCCTTATGGAGATTGATTCGATTCATAGAGATCTACGATCTAGATCCTGTGTTAGTTAACCGCTGCTGAACATGAGTCCCCACGACTTGTTTGATTCCTGCACCCGAGAGGATGAGTTCGAAGTCCCAGAGCAGTCAGTGGAACTTCTGGAAGTGCTTCCGAGGCCGACTTCTGCACAAGAGAAAGCTCAAGTTGTAGGGGTTGATAAGATCCGAACGTTTCAGATTCCAGGCAGGCATAGCTGCTGCAAAAGACTTGCTTTTTTGGGCTGCTAGGCCTCGGCGTTGAGAGTAAGCAATTCTGCACCCGGAAGACAAGAGTTAGGGCTTGAGAACCTCGTCCTGTCAGTGAAGCGGGCGCTGCAAGCGCCAAGCTTCTCTTGGGGCCCATGCTTGCTCACGCCAAGCGCGCTAAACCCGGCTGATAGGGATTAGAAGTGGGATTAGTTATGGCATGACTACACCAGCAGCCTATATCATTGCTTGACTGTCCACCTCAGTCCGGCATCCTCACTAGAAACTCAAATTGAACGGCATAGCCCGAAGTCAGTTGAGGTGCTTCCCGCTGCTGGTGGGCACACCGGGCTTCATGACGCAGGCGTTGCTTCTAGGTTTGCACGCTTCCAACACGGTTTACTTCCATTGAGGGCAGAAGGAACTTGAAGGGGCTAGAGAATGGTTGACTTTTGTTCACGTGGTTTTCCACATGAGCGGAGATCAAAACCCTTCTTATTCAAAAAAG